GACTCTTTTTCTCCCTAGGAGGCCAGTGTTGAAGGGAAAGCCAAAGACAGAAACCAGTAATGGGAGATAAAGCAAGCACAATCTGAGGAACATGGTGCTTCTCAGACCAGCTCAGCCCTGTGCCCTTTTCTGGCCACCATGTCTCTAGACCATGCTCTGCCCTGTGAGCAGGCACTGACAGGTCACAACAGGTGGCCCCGATCACCTCTGAATTATCATCTGAGAAGTAACTAGTTCACAAACTCATGAACTTGATTAGTATTAATGTTAACTTAGGACACCACTGTTCAGTGTTGATATAGGGAAGAAGAAATAGAAATAGCCTGTAGCTATTTATTTGCTCACTCATTTGTCATTTACCAAAGAGAGGCTTACTGAACTACACAGCTGTGCCAGGCAGACTATAGTTGTAAGCAGACCCATCTTGGTACCCGCTCTCACAGAGCCTGAAGTCTGGGGTCATGGCTCGCTTCCTCTCTCGACAGGTATCTGGCTGACAAGAGCTATAGTGAGCTGATAGTACAGAGCTCTGCCCTGAGCTTCCTCCTGAGGCATACCATGTCGAGCTGAGCATCCCCAGTCAGATGTTAAGTACACTTGTGCTGTACCACATGATGCAGGGGAATGGGTACTGGGACTCACAAACTGACAGCCCACTTCCTGTGCAGCCATTGGGACTTCTGGGAAAGACATCCCCATATACAGAGCAGAAATTTAAGATCTCCCAGGGAGACTAAACCCTAAACTCCATGTTTATTACAGATTTATGTTTATCTGGTGCTCTGTAACATTGGCAACGTTGAGTCCATCAGATAGCATTAGAGCTTGTGATTCAATTCAAAAATTGCAACATAGCAGTTAGTCTAGTGGGTAAAGTCTGTAATTTAGTGACCAAAAATAATAACAGACACTTCACTTCCTTCTGTTAGTGGTTGCATTAAGGTTAAATAATTTTAAAGCCTTTTAAACTTCTGATTTATACACAGGCCGGCAAAGGGGCCATACTTGAGCTGTTATAATCCAGAGATTTAGGCAAAAAGAATTTCTTGAATGAAAAGAAAAAATTTATTTTTTTTCAGAGTCAAAAAGCATAAAGAATTGAGAACTATTACCGCAAAGTAGAGGAAGGGTTGTTCATCTGTTAACTGTTGTTTCTTCATTGCTAATCACCAAAATTAGGGCTAATGCATCAGATCTGTACTGGATCGAGCATCTGCTAATCTTAAGAGACAGGAGAGGAAATTTTCCCTTTACATCTTTCAGACTTCTCAAATGTTTCTCAAAGTAAATTTTAAAATTTAACAAAATTGCCTCCTTAGTGTGTACTTGCTGCTAGCATAACTAGCATTTGTGTGAGCCATGAGTATTTCGAGGAAGTGAAATGACGTCACCGCAGTGACTCAGAATACAGGGTGATGCTGGTACCCTTCACAGCTGTAGTTCTGTGTGGCATGTGTGAGTTTCCACTGTGGGTAGTGCCAACCCTTCCTGGTTCCACAGCTGCCTTCCCAGTGCCTGACCTGCTAAAGAGCAGACATTTTTGAACCTGCTTCCCAAAGGCCAGAGAACCAGATGCTGTGTAGCTGGGCCCAGGGACACTGAGAAAAAAAGTACCAAATTTCTCCTTGTTTTGACCAGCTTTTTCCAAGCAAGGCTGTAACACCCTGAGCGTGACCCTTGTGAGCCAGCTGGACCCCACACACCTCGAGCCAACCGTGACTGTCCTGCCTCGTGAGGGCTGGGTGGGCAGAGAGTCTGGGTCCGTAGGCATCCTGTTTGCATTCAGAGTTTATATTATGTGCCGCATCACTCTAGGCCAGTGGTACCCCACTTTTTACTGTTGGGCTCAGAAAAAGTTGTGAGGTTGATTTATTGTTCTGGTTGAGTTGCTGCTACTTCTGATATGTAAGTAGTATGCTTGTGGATTCTAAGTCCTAAATTTGACTTAGTTTTATTTAAAAAGAGGACCTTAGTCTTTTTCCTCTCCCTCCCCCTTTCATCTCGGGCACAGCAGGTTCCATTTAAAGCCTGTCCAGGTTTCTCCCAGCCTCAACTGTGTGCCACCTTCACAATTGTTTTAGATTAGAGACAGCATGCCGTAGAAACTAAACTGTCTATAAAAGTGAAGCTGTGAATCAACGTGCCATGTGTCCACAGACTGATTTCCCATGTCTCCACTCAGTACTTCACCTGGGTCTCTTTCCAGGCATGGTGAGGCCCTGGTATGTCAGGCAATAGGACAGTGGGGCCACGGCCGGACCTACACACAGACGCCTCTGTCTCAACTGTCCCCAGGCCCTTCAGAGCTCGTCCTCCTGGAGGCCTCTCACCATGCTTCCTCCTAGTTCCTCTTCTCGACCTCTGGTGGGTTCTTACTTCCCCTTGAGCATAAGATGATTATACAGTCCAGGAAACGAACACTGTGCAGTGGGTTTGATGGGTGGACAAACCAAGTGACATTCTCCTCTCCCACTGCCACCCATGAGATTGGGACTTGGCTCAGAGTCACTGTATAGTAAATGGCTACAAAATTTATCATCGTGTTGGTACATGTGTGCTGGGCTGAAGCTGCAATTCAGTGATAGAGCTCTTGCCTTTGCCTAAGCACTAACCCCAAAAAGAAATACCATCTGGCATAGAGATTATTCAGATTCTTTTGTCCTTGTCACTATACACAAAGTCCTGTTTTGTCTTAAATGAATACCTGGGGAAGTGCCATAGAAGGGGTTGGCTTAATAGTCTCATGGTCTGCTGCCTCTTCCCAGCCATGCCTGGGAAAATTAGGCTAGTGTAGATGTGTTCTAATAATTACTTTTTTTTCCCATAATTTTATTGAGAAACAAATAGCAATGAGACAGTTTCAAATCAAATTAGGACAGTTTCAATAATTAACACATTGCATACTCTCTTCTTGGTGGTTATTTGCTGTACAAGATGCAGACATAATATCCTATTTACAAACACTATTAGAACAAATCCCTCTATTCATTGAATTAAGAGAATGTAGCTATATATCTATCGTAACCATTTTGAATACAAAGATACAAAATTGTCATTCATCTGTATTCCAAAATAGTCCAATAGTCCATAATAGTATTGGGTCTTCTGCATGATTTAAGTGGATGCCACTTGAAGATGCACTCGTAAGTGAAATAATTGTCATTATGAATAAATAGAATTTGAAACACATGTGAAAACATACATACAATTCTACATGTGTATACACATAATGCGTACCTACATACCCAGGTGAGAAGGTTATTTTTTTTTTAATTATT